TAGCTAATAAACATTGCTGGACTGAATTTACATGGTCTCTTGGAGTTCCTTGGGCTAGGCCCTATCTGCGCTATGGCAAAGAGATTAGGGGGGAAACTGGTGGGGCTCTTAGAGACAGTAGCAAACCTGGAAAAACCCTGGAAAGAGATCGCTATGGACTTCATTGTAGATCTGCCCAAAGCAAATGAAACACAGTGATTTGGATGGTGACCAACTTATTTTTCAAACAAGTCCATTTCGTGGTGTGCGCGTCCCTACCCACAGCGAACAAACTAGCTGAATTGTTCATACAACACATCTACTGGTTACATGGAGTCCCAACCCGAATAATTACCAATCACAGCACACAGTTCACCTCAAGTTCTGGAGGGTGTTTATAAAGCCACTTGGGTTGAGCCAACCCCTAAGTTCCGCCAGCCACCCCCAGATGGACAGGGCTACTGAATGACTGAATGCTGTATTGGAACAGTATTTATGGTGTTTCATTAACTATCAACAGGACAATTGGGCACAGCTGCTCCCCTTTGCTGAGGTTGCCTACAATAACACAGTACATCAGAGCATCAGACACACCCCCTTCAAAGTTGCCACGGGACAGGATTTTGTCGCTGTCCCCGAACTTCCCCAAGAAGTCATCCATGTCCCATCACTAGATGAGTGGATCAAGCAATTAACAGACCTCTGGCCAATCGTTAAAACGGCGCTCCAAGATGCCCAGGACAACTACAAGAAATATGCTGATTGCAAGCGTGTTCCTGAGAAACCATGGAAAGTGGGGGACCTAGTGTACCTGTCAACTAAATATCTCAAAATGGCACAGCCCTCAAAAAAGCTCGGACCCAAGTTTATAGGTACCTTTCCGATAGAGAAAATCATTAGCCCCGCGGCATTCCAACTAAAACTGCTGAAGTCCCTCAGGAGAATTAATCTAGTTTTTCAATGCAGCCTCCTAAAACTGCTCAAGGGATCGCACAAATGGCACCCCACGCAAAACCAACCTGAACCCATAACTATTAACGGCCAGCAGCATTTCGAGGTTCAAGAAATTCTGGACTCCAGGACATGGAGGGGGAAGCTGCAATTCCTCATGCGGTGGAAGCACTTCCCGGTGGCGCAGAGTGAGTAGGTGGATGAAACTGATGTTAGGGCACCCCGATTAGTCAGAGACTTTTATAAAAAAAATACCCCGACAAACCTAGATAGCGAACAGGGTGGGATGGTGTGTATGTTTTATTTCCTTTCTCTAGTCTCTCCCCAGGTTCATTCCATGAAGACCGGAGCTGCTCCTCTTTTTGGGGGGGCGGCATGTCAGAATCCTTGTGATCGTTCTTTTGCACGTATGCTTAAACCGCTGTGGTTCTGCCATTCCAGCAGGAGGAGGGGGAGAAGCTTAGACCAAGGACTGCTTGACGCTGGCAAGCCATTTCCCGAACCATCAGGGACAATTAAGAACCTAGCAATGGGGGAAATCGGAGAACCTTGACACCCTGAGCAAAAAGGACTAATGATCGAGGGGGAGGGGGAAAGGAAAGGGCTTTAAATTTTGTGGTTTGGCTGGGGAGATTTAGTTCCAGCTATTTCTTTTTGCCATATCACAGTGTGCTTATGTTTTTTAAATAAAACTTCTTATCTCGGAACCTGTGTTGGTTTTGATGAGGATTGCTTTTATCGAGGACTGAGCACAGTCCTGACACCCACAGAAAACCGCAGTTCTGCAGTCTCCTCATGAGAAGTAGCCATCTGGAACACATGTGACCAATCTCCTATCCTCTCCTTATCTGGAGAAGTTCCAAGGAACTGCTCTACTCACCAGTTCCTTGGTCTTTGCCTCACTCATCGGCTCTGCTTTCGCAGAACCGACTTCAATTCACCATACCTCCTCTGGAAGCTCCCCTGGACCCAACAGACAACTATAATCCTGTCTCCAACTTTCCCTTTTTAGAGAAAGTTGTTGAGAAAGTGGTTGGACTGCAGTTACAGTGGACTCTGGAGGAAGTGGATTATCTAGATCCATTTCAGTCATGTTTCAGGCCAGGATTCAGTGTGGAGACAGCCTTGGTCATGCTTGTTGATGACCTGTGGTGGAGCCAAGATGGAGGTAGTGCATACTATTGAACACAATATCCTTTTAGATCAGCTCCAGGAGTTGGGATTCAGTAACTCTTCTCTTTCTATTGGTTAGTTCCCGTTGTATTAGCTGGGGGGAAGGAGAGGTCACTCCCTAGGCCCTTCTTTGTAGGGTGCCACAGAGCCCAAAACTCTTCCCTCTCTTGTTCAACATCCACATGAAACCTCTGCGTGAGGTCATCGACAGGTTTGGATCTCAATATGCTGATGATATCCAATTATATCGACCCCAGGCCAGCCAAGATGTTGAGGTTCTATCCCAATTCTTGGAGACTATGTGGGCCAGGATGGGGAGGAACTGACTCCAATTTAATCCTACCAAAAGCCACCATGGCTATTAGGGCCACCTGGATCTGGGGATATTTCATCTTCAACCTTGGATGGGACAGTACTTCCTCATTCATGAGTGGTGCACAATCTGAGGGTCTTCCTGGACTCTCAGCTCCTGCTTGAGGAGGTGGTAACTGTGGCTAGGAAGGCCTTTGCATAACTCCATTTGGTAAGCCAGTTGTGCCTTTTCTTGGACTGAGAGGGCCTTCTGACATTCACTCATGCCCTAGTCACCTCACAGCTAGACTGTGATAATGTGCTGCCCTTGAAGACCATTCAGAAGTTTCAACTAGTCCAGAATACAGCATGCCTTGGTATGCCCATGTGACACCCCTGCTTTGTGAGCTACACTGGTTGCCAATGTACTTCTGGATGCAATTCAAGGTGCTGGTTATGACCTATAAAGCCCTGCATGGCCTGGTTATTTGAGAGACTGCCTATCTCCTGCAGTTTCTGCCCAGCCAGTACATGCCAACAGGATTGGCACACGCCAGGTCCCTTCAAATACACAGTATCAACTTTTGGGACCCAGGAAGCATTCCTTCTGTTGCACAGGATGAGCCCCCCCATCTCCCTCCCCCTCTGTGTTGCTCCGACCCTGTTGACAGTCTAGAAAGCCTTACAGTCCTAGCTGTTCTCCCAAGCCTTGGGTTAGGGTGGTTGGGGCCCATCAGATACATTTGGGGCATGGGTGCTGCTAGCTGAACTTACCATCTGTTCCTTTCCCTTTTTAGTTTATTATATTGTATTTTCTATTTTGTTCGGTTTTGTTGCACACTGCCCAGAATCAGTTTGGAGTTCATTGGTACCTACATTGAACTGATTTAATTAATTTCATTTCTGTAAAAGCTTGTCTTTAAAAGGTTCAGAGACAGGCCCGGTTATGCCCACCCTACTCTCTTGGCGGTTCCTAGGTTTATTTGTCATGGATGTATGTGTACATGGTTGTATTGTAGGATGTTGTTTTAAATAAGTAGGATTATCCTTTCTTACTTATTCGCTATTTTCCAACTTAAGAACAAGGCCTTGTTAAAATACTGCATATATGTATGTGAAAAGGCAGGGTGTGAAATTATTAAGAGTTGGTTCCTGTTCATTGAGATACATGCTGCATAAAAATCAGGTGGTGGTAATGGAACAATCCCAGTGTGATTTAAATACTATCACAAAAAAACCCAGGATATTCTTATGGATTGGGGTTTTTTTATTTTAAAGTTTTTTCCCATTGAAATTATGTCCAGTTCTGCAGTACATTCAGGTCAGTTTTTGCTTTCTTACAGCAAAGGAAGCTCCCATGAAGATGATGAAAACAGCTTATTTTCTTAATGTAGGCTGATGCCGATGGGATTTCAGCAAACGATAAAACCAAGTTTGCTTAAAGAGGGTCCTAGCCAGGATCCCAGCCAACAAAGACAGTGCTTCAGCAACACTTATAGGTCCTCTTCCCAGCCACAGACACATGACCCCACCAAAAGCATCTTCCACACAAACATGGACACCCCACCAATCTCTAGGGCTACTACCAGAAGAGCAATCTCTCCTATGTGTATGTAGAATACTTGAGGACAGATGGATTTGGATCTATTTGGTTCCACATCCTTCAAATTCCTTCTAGCAATAAAGCTGGGCGTCTTGAATGTTGTTGTTTTCTTTTGCAAACAAAGGCTACAAAATTGAGTTTTTATTTTGACACACAAGATGCACTTATAAAATCCATACATAATTATTTTACAAGGAAAAGATCATTCCAAGCTTCCTTTCAGCGACATTTAAATAAAATAAAATTACAACAGATTTATCCAATGGTCTGAATTGAATTTTAATGAATCAAATTTGCCAAAAGCAACACGTCTATGAAATAATCATCTTGTAAACTTCAATGTTAAGTTTTATACTTCTCCCACAACGTTCTCTTAAGTTGAGAGAAGCTGGTCAAAGAAGGTTGGCAGCGTGGGGAGAAAATGACTGGAAACACCTGGCCATCCATACTGCCTTCTTTCTTGAAGCCTGCTTGTCAGGATACCATTCTCACGTATTAATCCTCTCAACTCTGGGGGAATAATAATGTATTCTGGACTTCAAACATTAGCATTTTAAAATAGTTGTTTTGGCCACTCTGCAAGAGCTAAGAAGTAAATTGCCGAAGATCTGCTATTATTCAACACACACAATTCTGCTTTTTGTTTTTTGTTTTAAAAAGACACTCGATATTGCATTGTGTTCCTTAGGCATTGTGGATAGATAAGAATGGAGCACCTTGAATATAGCTTTGCTCTTTTATTATGATGAGCTAAAAAGAACACTTATTCCTGTCTTAATCTTCCTTGCGATCCTCTCCCCAAACTCACACGCACTGAGTGAAGCTGCTTTGTATTTCAAAACCCAAGCATGTCATAAAGCTAGTTTTCAGAAAAACCTATTTCAGTCTGTCATTTTGGCGACATGCAGCTTTCCCAGCAAAGCAAAGAAATACTCTTCACCTGCTTGACACGCAACGCAGAGAGATTCTTGCACAGTGAACGGGCTTGCAGCTGGAACTGAAACACACCAATTTCTGCATGGATGCTTAAAATGCTGAAGAGGAAAGGTAAGTTCCTGACCTCTTGTTCCTTCAAACATTCAACTCTTCTTGTTATGATCAATTTCTGATTTAAAAGCTTAAGATTGATGACAAAAAACAATGTGTGGTAAATCTTTAAGGATGCCACGTTTTGGTTAGCTGAAATGCATTTTGAGCCAAGAATATCCTGATTGTTTATTTTCCTGTAAATCTGGGAAAGAATGGCAAGAGTGGAATTCTTAATTTGGGGGGGCATCTGCTCATGAAAGCAAGTGGAGAGAGGTGCTTCTTGTGAACTTTTCAAAATTCTCCACTGCAGGGCAAAAAAGAATATGTTCAGGAAGCAGGGATTCATACAGGAAAAGGGATTTAAACATAGGTCACACATTCTTCCCAGAAAAGCAACGCTGCAGCTCTGTCCAGCTGTCGGTGGTTTTTTTTTTTTTAACTCATTTCATTTTTTAAAATACCAAGGTTACAAAGCTGAGGCTTGATCAATTTTTCAAGCCAACTTACTCCCTGTAAATAGATTTGCTGTTAATAATTTAAGGTTTAAATAAATATTGGTGTGCCTATTTGGCATCTGTCCGTCACTGACAGCCCTTCCTGTTCCAACTGCTCAGTCTCCCACTCACAGACCTCTAGTCAATTCGATTTCCACAAATGGTAAACCTGTCTATCTCCAACAAATCTTTCTTTGTAGATCTGGATTTGGATTCTGCATTGTCCTGGCATATATCTTTCTCATCTCCGTCAGGAGTTGTCAGAAACTGGTCAGAGGGACTCGTCACTAGTTGGGGGGATACGTTTTCCTTTGGACGCACAGGCTGACTGGCTACTGAAGCAGAGAAGCCTTCCTCCGTAGAAAGTCCTGCGTGAGACAAACACAAAGACATTTTGTTCTTCTGAGATTATTATAGCCACCCACCCCAAAAGACTCTGGTGCCACATCTACCAACAAAATATATTTCAAAGGTGAGGAACGAGGGTTCCAAAGAACAACAAAGGCCTTTATGGCATTTTAAAAGCTAACAAATGAACTGCAGTCCTCTTCATCAGATATAAAAGGTGCCTTCACAGTTTTCACTGGATTTGCTGCAACAGTGTGATATAATACCTTGTCTGGGAGAAAACATAAGACAACTCAAACTACAACATGGTTCTCTGGCTTGTTAATGATAGCGTTCCACACTAAATCTGATGTTTTGGGTTCTTTTTCAGTTATATGGTACCATTTTCACAGAGGCCCTTTCTGCCGATAAATAAGAAAGCTTGAAGGAGTACAGATGCTCATCACGTGAAGTTCTGAAGGGGGAATATCCTTAGCAGTTTGGTTACAGCAGGTAGAACAACTCATTACACAAAAATGTAAGGTGAAGCTTTGTCTTCCATTATCCAACAGGAACTCTTATGATCAATTCAATTAATTGGTAGAGGACAGCATAAAGCACGTCTTCATTCAACGAGAGACCTACAGAACTTATTATAGCATGTAATTATGACCACTAGCTTGGAAAAGCTTTAAAGACCACATTAAAGAATTACTTCTTCTTGAGGCTAGCACCCTTTAATCAAATAGGGAACTCCCTAATCAGAGATGGGGCAGATGGGAGGAAAGGGCTGTTTCTTTTCCCAAAACTAGTTGAGGCACCAGTTTTACCGCAATCTTGGGACAAACGAGATTATTTAAGTAACCCTGTTCTTGCAGCTTGTTTTTTGTTTGCTTCTTAGATACTTTATTTACATTCTTCCAGCAGTGAAAACTGGAAGAGCAAATTAGCAAATCAAATAGCAGGCACAATTCCCATTGACCGGAGCCCCTTGAAGAGAGGAAGGAGAGAGAAATTATGTACAATTACTTATGTTTGAGACAGAACACCTTTTTGGGGTTCAGAAAATGATTGCTGTTTCTTTGGCAGGTAAGCTTTACTCCCATGTTAAATTCGGCCCTACAGGGAAGTTAGAATTCTGGATTGCATCCTCCTGGGTATGCCTGACAGAATCACTGGAGCTTTCAGAACGCTAAAGGCAAAAGCTTTCTCTTTCCCTGAGCTTTGAAAATGCAAAAGTCTGCCTCAGGAACAAACCTTAATGCAACCATCAGCGAAGCGCATTTTATATTGGCTGCTGTTACGCTGTTCATGGGCTGTTTTGAAGAGAATCCATTGCTGCAGCTTGTTTCTTTAGTGGGCTCTGTTCTAGGGCTGATTGTATAAAGCAGGCTGCAAAAAGCAGGCATAGAGTGTGCTTTCATTATTTTTACTATGGGACTTTTGTTTTTTTAATCTTGTCTTCAAAATTTTTTTTTGTTTAGATTTTTTATCCCACCTTTATTATTTTTATATAATTCAAGGCGGCGAACATACCTAATACTCCTTCCTCTTTTTCCTATTTTCCCCACAACTACCACCCTGTGAGGTGAGCTGGACTGAGAGAGAGTGACTGGGCCCAAGTTACCCAGCCAGCTTTCCTGCCTCAGGTGGGACTAGAACTCACCGTCTCCTGCTTTCTAGCCTGGCGCCTTCACCGCTACACCAAATTCCCTTGGCCAATGCAAAGGGATGCAAAGCTTTAGGATACCCCGTTTGTCCTTAAGACCCTCTCAATCCCTGCAACGCATGTGTGTGCACATCCAGGCATAGGCCATAAACATAGGCTCTACCCACTGGAGGGGTGGTCTGAGGACTCTGAGGAAGTAAAAGAGGTGCTGTGGGTTCACATGTGCTTCACACTCCTCTGCAAAATTCTTCCTAAGGGGGAAAAGAATCCAAAGCCTGTTTGTTCAGAACTGAAGATTAAGGGCCTCTTCAAATGCTACCAGACACTTTATACTGAGTCGAATAAGATACCTTTGCTTAATACTGGAGTTAGCAGTTTCACTGACCTTGAGGAGACTTGTATTTGCTCTGTGGTTTGCCAAGAGGTTTTCCTGGGGTGCTGGAAGGAGGTGGGTTGAACAACTTCTCCTCCATGTTCGCTTCTTTGACATAGTGGCAGGACTTTCCCAACAATACAATGCTGTTGAGTACTTTGAGCGATATTAAACTAAAAACAATAATACATAGGATTAGATTTCACGGCCTGAGCAAGATGGCCACCTCTAGGGTTTCAGGCTGTCTGTTAGGACAACAGATATGTACTGTTTTATTCTGATCAGCCCTGCTATGCATCAATTAGAAATAAAGGACAAAAATACTAGGTTCGTGCGAGGCAGCCTGGATTCACTTTGGTAAAGAACTCGGTGCCCCAAGGGATGACTCCCTTTCCTCCAAGAAGGGGCTGCTTTGCCTGCCTTGGCCAGGACTGTGTGACACCTTGCCCAGTTTTTGCAAAGGCTGGCTGAGGCAGATGCGTTGCTCTTAGGAGCGGGGGGGGGGGCAGGATGCTACCAGATCCAACTTCAAGGAGGCTTCCCAAATAACTGTCCTGCAGAATATTACTATCATACTCTAAAACCATGGTGGGTGGCTTTTATCTCTCTAACATCAACACCCGGTGATGCACATTGTGTCAGGGGCAGCAGAGCAGGCTCACACATCTCCCCTTCTTTCCACACCCAGGAAAGGCACTGTTTGGGCCTCCCATGTACAACCAGCTGGACAAGAGTGCACTAGCCAAATGATAAAATATTTTATATTTTATGATTTTCCATTATTACTCAGTATGAAATTTCCTACTGTAATAATTTGCCAGTACCTGGAAATCTGAACTCAATCATGAATTGGGCATTATAGTAAAGTTATAATGCCAAGTGTACTTACTGGAAAATTAACTCAGTTCAAAGTAGCAGGGTTTGCTTCCAAAATAAAGGTTATGGTGGGTAGTAATTTTGTGAAATACACTGTTACCCTCTTCAGAAATTTAACCTTCTGGCAAGAAACATTACATGCATTAACACAATCTGAGACTTATCTCAATCATATGAGAATTGACTTTTGGACAGAGAAAATGAACTTATAATCAAAAGACTTATTGTTCAGCATTGGAAAACAAACATATGGCTCCAATTATTTAGCGGTTTGCGGAATTGATTAATATAGATCAATCATGGATGACTATAATGAATCATAGCATTAATTTATCAATATACAGTACTGTGCAAAAGTTTTAGGCAGATGTGAAAAAATGCTGTAAAGTAAGAATGCTTCAAAAATATATATTGTAATTGTTTATGTTTATCAATTTACAAAATGCAAAGCAAGCGAAAAGAAAAATCTAAATCAAATCGGTATTTGGTGTGACTACCTTTTGGCTTCAAACCAGCATCAATTCTTACACTTGGACATTTTGTACACTTGCACAAAGTCAGGGATCTTGTAT